TGGAGCTCTATCCTATAAATTTTGATATGTTGTATTTTCATTTTTGCCCAATTCAAAGTGTCTTTTTCGAAAATTTCTGGCCAGGCACTGTGGCTCACTCCTGTAATTCCAGTAGCTCAGGAGGCTAAGGCAGGAGGATTGCAAGTTCAAAACCAGCCTCAGCAATAATAGCAAGGTGCTGAGCAACTCAGTGAGACCCTATCTCTAATAAAATACAAAAAAGGGCTGGGGATGTGGCTCAGTGGTTGAGTGCCCCTGAGTTCAATTTCTGGTACCCACCCTCAGTTTTTTTTCCTGAAGACTTTCTCTTTCTCACTATTTGAGGAGGCATCCTGGGAGTGTGCCTTTGACCTGCAACATACCATACCACATCTCTGTGAGAAAAGAGAAAGGCAAGCTGCAACAGCCATACTTCTGGATGTCCGTGACTTCTGCACCACTGTCCAGCTCTACAAAAATAACACTCTATGCCACCATAGTAGGCTAACTTTTTTTCTTTGGTTCCTAGGATTAAACCCAGGAGTGTTAACCACTGAGCCACATCYCCAGGCCTGTAGAGATGGCCTGGCTAAGTTGTCCAGGCTGGCCTGCAATTGCTGTAGTCCTCCTTGAGTCTCTCCTGAGTTTCTGGAGATTACAGGCTTGAGCTACCATTCCCAGCCTGGCCTGAACTAATTCTTCAGATGAAAATAAGACCAGCTTGTTGAATGAAAGGGTCAGGAGTAGAGGATAGAGAAAATCCTGTTCTCAGGGACCCTACTCTGCTCCCCTCCACCCAAACAGGACAGGCTGGAGTGAAAAGGGAATTAGGGAATTAGTTTCCCCTAGAGGCATTATTACTGGGTACCCTGCTGTGACACCTAACTCTAGCCAATATTCCAAATGGCTAATTTCTAGTTGTCAATTATTTTGACATTAACGTTCCAATTTGGGGAATTTCCAGTCCTAACCCTTCAGCTACAAAGGGAATTCAGGGTTTTTACAAACTTTAGATGTTCTCTGGGTTCCCATGTGCCCTTGAGTCTGGTTACCCCAAAGGGGGCTAGGAATGTTTGACCTGGGACCTGCCAGAGGTTTAGCCATTGCTGAGATTTGCATGGGAAGATTGCTCAGTGCTAGGTCCAAGGGTGGGAGGCATCTGCCAAGGGAGAAGTGCTGTTTTGTCCCCAGCTATTTCTTTTCAGGGTGCTGGGGATGCATTTCTACACCTATACCTCAATCTAAGTAAGTGCTTTCTGTGTGAGCTATGTCTCCAGTCCTGTACATTTTTTGAGATCCTGACAGGTTGTCTAGGCTCTCTGCACTTGATTTATCTTCTAACCTCAGACAAGTAGTTGGCATTACAGTCATGTACTACAACCCAGCTGAACATCATCTTTAATAAACTGTTTTCTTGAAACAAAACAAAAAGACTTCCTCTTTAGCCCAAAGGATTATTAAAAGGGTGTGGTTTGGTTTCCAAATGTTTGGATGTTCTCTTGGTATCATCCTGTTACTGATTTCTAGTTTGATTCCACTGTGATCAGAGGATACATTCTCTGTGATTCCAATTCTTTTAAATTTTTGATATTTGTTTTATGACTCAGGATATTGTCTATGTTCAAGAGGCACTTTAAAAGAATGTTAATTTTTGTATTGTTGAATGGAATATTCTATGAGTACTAATTTGATCCTATCAGTTGATGGTGAGTTCTATATTCTTGATGATTTTCTGTCTAATTGTTCTATCAATTATGGAGGGGGGTTATTGAAATCTCTAATTATCTGTGTGGTTTCTCTTTTTAAAATATTTTATTAATTATTATTAATGGGCCTTTATTTATTTATTTGTTTATATGCAGTGCTGAGAATTGAACCCAGTGCCTCACGCATGCAAGGCAAGTGCTCTACTGAGCTACAACCCCAGCCCCCCTTGTGATTTCTTTATTCCTCCTTTTTCTTTACATATTTTGTTGCAGCTCTGTTGTTTGGTCCATAAAATTTAGGTCTACTACATATTTTTTTGTGGACTGCTCTTTTTTTTTTTAATCATTATATAATGTCTTTTCCCGTCTCAATAATGACTTTTTTGGCTTTGGTCTACTTTATCTGATATTAATATAGCTATTCCTGCTTTCCTTTGACTTATGTTTATATGATATATCCTTTTCCTAACCCTTTCAGTCAACCTCTAGATTCAAAGTGAGTTTCTCATAGATAGCATATTTTTATTCACTCTGCAGCAAATATAAATTGGTATATTTAAACCATTTATATTTAATGTAATTATTGATGTGATTTGGTTTAATTCTGACATTTTATTTTGGTTTTCTATTTGTCTTCTGTTTCTCATTTCTCTCTCTCTTTTTTTTTCTTGAATTTTTCCCTTTCCTGAATCTTTTAGAATTTTATTTAATTTACCCGTAGTGGTTTTTTTCTTTTTCTTTTGTTTTGTTTGGGTACTAGGGATTGAACTCAGGGGCACTTGACCACTGAGCCACATCTCTAGCCCTATATTTTGTATTTTTTTAAATTTGGAGACAGGATCTCACTGAGTTGCTTAGCACCTCACTTTTGCTGAGGCTGGCTTTGAACGCGCAATCCTCCTGCCTCAGCCTCCCAAGCTGCTGGGATTACAGGCATGTGCCTCCAACACACGTCTAAATCAATCAGGATCACTCCAGGTGAATTTGGGCTGACTAAATACACAGACACAGGAAGTACATTTTTCTTTGGGATTATTCAGCAAAGCCTCTCTGCTTCGGCTCCCACAAGGGAGGCGAGGGAGGCAGACAAAAGAGGAGGAGGATGTTCTGAAGCCCCTTCCTATTGAGGGGAAGACACAAAGAGGAGGGGTCAGGTTTTGGGGTTGAGTCTAGCTTCCTGATGTCTTGTGGTGAGCAGATTGACYGACATCTTGGAAGGTCACACCCAACTCTGGCGCTATGTGGGATTAAAAGGCTGAGCGAGCGAAAAGGACACATAACGTGCACATCCCAGTTAGAGAGGCAGTGTCAGTCCAGTCCACTCATGTACTCATGCTCATAGTTCACACACACACAGCCCATGGTTGGCTCGCAACATGCCTACCTGTAGTGTTTTTAAGAGTGTGTGTATCTCTTTCTTTCTTTCTGTGTTRTTAGTGATTGAATTCAGGGTCTTCCTTGTGCTAGGTAAGAACTCTTAACAAAGACCTATACCCCCAGCCTGTATCTCTTTATATAGATTTTTTTAGTGGTGGCTCTAGGTATTTCATATATTACATGTATTATTTATGTTATATAATATGCAATGTTATATGTAAGTATGCTTGTATATACAGATATAGATATAAAATCAGTTTACTGGTGTTATCACTGTACCAGTTCAAGTATAGAAATCTTATCTCCTTTACCTTTCCTGCTACTATAATATAATCATCTTAAACATTTCTCCTAAGATATTTCAAACCACATCAGACAGCATTATATTTTTGCTTCAGTTGTCAATTGGCATTTGGCCAAATTGTAATAGTTTTATCTTAGAACTTCAACTAAGAAATCCTTTGTACATTTTAAAATATTCTCAAAATCTAATGATATAAGGAACTGATCAACAAAATAAAGGGACAACCTATATGAAATGGAAGGAAATATTTTTAAACCATAAATCTGATAAAGGGTTAATATCTAAAATATACAAGAAATTCATAAAACTCAATAACAAGAGAACAAACTGATTTAAAAATTTGTAAAGGACACGGAAAGGTGATTCTCAAAAAAACATTCAAATGGCCAACAGGAATATAAAAAATGTTMAACTTGCAAATTAAAACCAGAATGAGGTATCTTCTCATGCTCCTTAGGATGCTATTACCAGAAAGACAAGAGCTGGGGTATAGCTCAGTGGTGTATGCACAAGGCCATGGGTTCAATTGCTAGCACCCAGGGCAGGAGGAAAGATGAGAGAAGAAGTATTGGCAAGGATATGGAAAAAAGGGAACACTTATACAGTGTTGGTGGGAATGCAAACTAGTACATCTATTATAGAAAACAATATGAATATTCCTCAAAAAGTTAAAAATAGAACTACCAAAAATAGAACTACCATATGATCTGAGTATATCTAAAGGAATTGAAATCAGTATACTGAATAGATGTTTGTACTCCTTAGGTTTTTTTTTTTCAGCATTATTTACAATAGCCAAGATATGAATTTATCCTAAATGTCCATCAATGGATGAATAAGAAAATATGCTCATGTGCACAACAGAAAACTATTCTGCCTGAAAAAGAAGAAAATTCTGTCATTTGTGATGGAGACACAAATACTGCATAATGTCACTTACACGTGGAGTCTAAAAAAGTCAAACTCATAAAAGTAGACAGCACAATGCTGATTACCAGAGACTGGGGAAAGGGAGGTATTGTAGGGATGCTGGTCAATGGATGTGAAGTTTCAGTTAGAGAAGATGAATAAATACAAGATGGTGAATATAGTTAATTACAATATGTTGTACACTTAAAAATTGCTAAGAGCATAGATTTTTAAAGGTTCTCACCACAAAAAATGATAGGTCTGTTAATTAGCTTAAGTTAGTCATTCCACTATGTGTACATGTATTAAAACATCATGTTGTACACCACAAATGTAGAGAATTTTTATTTAACAATTTTTCAAACTTAAAATTTTTGATGGGAATCTACAAACAAAATAARACTAGTGWGGCCATGACTTCATTTTATATTTGTCACTYATACTTCTAACTTGCCAACAACTGTCTAAAACATGGGATCACAATATATGTTTGCCCTGAGTAAGTAAACTGTTTTCTAACTTTAGCTGAGAACTGTAAATAATAAGTTAACCAAAAGATTAATTTTCTAAGTTCTTTTACCTCAAATTAATTTTTCCTTCACTAGAGATTTTCAGTGCAGCCCTATGCACACCTGATACTCTAATTTAGTTGACTGTAAATAGATAAATCATACAACTAACCTGAGAATGGAAAAAAATTACAAAGTATCCAATTTAAACTTTACCTCTCTCCCAGAGTATTTATCTCCAGTGGCATCCAGGTGTCTCTTAAATAATTCTACCACAGCATTGTAGACCAGTTCATACTGTTCCTGAAGAGCATCATAAACCAGAACAAATGAAGAAAACAAAAAATCTTGGTGAACTACAGAACAAGATTCCAGGAACATAAATACTCATCAAATATCAATATGGCAGACCTGAGAGGACCACCCAACATAATTTATTAAACTTAATAACAATGCCTTATGTTTATGTAGTSCATTTCAGATTTCAAAGCACATTTAGGCTACTAGAAATAGCTGAATATTTTACATCATTTTAGCTAATGTACAAGATCTTATGGCATATTTCTTTTATGTTTTAACCCCACTTTCTTACTTATCTTTCCTTCCATTATCATTTCTTCCATTATCATTCCTTTAATTCTGTTTTCTTTGCTCACAATTAAAAAATTTATTTCATCCTAGATGCATTTCATGTAAGCCACCTTTACTTTTCTGGAAAAAGGTAGATAACAGTTGGCATACAGAGAGAGAGAGAGAGAGAGAGAGAGAGAGAGCGCTAAAATATGTCTTATCTAACTTGACAATTGCTCTGTGAAGTAGGTAGGTTATTATGCCTATTTACAGACAGTTTGTCCAAGGTCATTCAGAAGTAATTTCTAGAACTTGGTTTAAAAACTGAATCAAGTTGCTGAAACTTTATCCTAGTAGAAATATCAAAGAAAAATAAATGTGTGAATAAGGCTTGGAAATTTGTGATTATAAAAGGATACCCATAGAGAAATGATACCTCTACTATTATAAGGTTTATGRATTTTCACTACTGAGTGTTTTCCTTTATGTCTACTCAACTGCTTTCTCTGATATATTACACAATCCCACTCAAATTAAAAAAAAAAAAAACTTTTTCTAGAGGTACTTTTAGCAGGAAAACAATGTAGGGTCTTATATTACCCAACAGCTATGGTACACTCTCTTAATTTTTTTTTTTTAAGAGAGAAAAATCAAACAGGAAATACTCATCTGGCTACACTGCCATTTTGTGGTTAAAGTAATATCAGAAAAAGCAGCTATGACTGTTAAGATATTTGTTCAGCGAGTCATTGATAATGCCAAAATGTGAGGGCTTTTTCAGCTGTCTCTAACTCTTGAAAGTAGGGTCTGGACTTAGTGAGACCCTGTCTCAAAATAAAAAATAAAAAGGGCTGGGATATGGCTCCGTGGTTAAGTGCCCCTGGGTTCAATCTCTGATACCACACACACACACAGTAGACCTGGAGTAGAATTTTTCTAAAATGGGGTATGGTTTTATTAATTTAGTATTACAACTGGGTTGCATACTTCCTGTATTTTTATGGATCACCCTTCTTTCAAGTCTGACAGCACCAAACCAGCTAATGCTTTCATTTCACATAAACTTTCCCCTCATAGGTTGATTGTAGAAAACACCTACAGTCAACACATAAAAAAATATTTTTTTTCCACAAGCTATTAGTGGAAAGCCTGTGTGGGCCCAACAAATAGTTTTTTTCCTTCATATTTTCCCTTCAGTTCACAACTTCTAGATTAAAATTTCTAAACTGCCATTGTCAGTTGTTTTATCTTTAAATCTAGGTGCAACTTCATTTATAAGTGCTTGAAACACTTTGGGGTCTTCCTACTTCAAAGTAAACAATTATGCAAAAACAACCCTGGCATATACTAAACATCAATAAATATTTGATGAGTGAAAGAGTAAATGCTAAATTCCATCTTAAAGATGAGACCACTTAGAAATTACTGATACAGATTCATGAGTGAAATTAATATTGTAGTCTATGAAAGATTTGAGCTAGGAAGAGATCCTAATAGAGTAAACAAGCATGGGTAATCTGAGGGAGGGTTTAAAGATACATAATATAGTATGATTGCAATTATTTTTTTTAAGTATGCATACATTAAGGACTAGAAAAACAATAGAAAATGGTAACTATCTCTAGATAATATATTATTATTATTATTATTATTATTATTTATTTTTTGTACTGAGGATTGAACCCAGGGGCACTGAAGCCACATCCCCAGTCATTTTCTACTTTTTTTTTCATATTTATTTTTTAGTTGTAGGTGGACATAATAACTTTATTTCATTTTTATGTGGTGCTGAGGATTGAACCCAGTGCCTCACGTGTGCTAGGTGAGCGCTTCACTACTGAGCCACAACCTCAGTTCCCCTTTCCTACTTTTTATTGTGAGACAAAGTCTCACTAAATTGCTGAGGCTGGCCTTTAACTTATGATCCTCCTGTCTCAGCCTCCAGATARTAAATCCAGTGGGGACTATAGACATATTCCACTGTACCCTGCTAGAATATGATTGATTTTAATCTGAATTTTTGTGGTTTCCTAAAATGAACATTTAAACAGTTTAAATSTTACTACCTTCTAAACTAGAAATTATGATTCCTGGACTGGGGATGTGGCTCAAGCGGTAGCAGGCTTGCCTGGGTTCGATGCTCAGCACCACATACAAACAAAGATGTTGGGTCTGCCGAAAACTAAAAAATAAATATTAAAATTCTCTCTCTCTCTCTCTCTCTCTCTCTCTCTCTCTTTAAAAAAAAACAAACAAACCTTTATGTACCTCACAGCCCCCACCAGCTATTTTTTTTTTTAAAAAGAAAGAAATTATGATTCCCTGCTTTTCTATCATTTCAGAGATTACTACAAAATTTCTAGTTGACATGAAAGTCCCTTAATACATTCTTAATAAGAAATATAATAATGGCTTCTTAACATTTTCTAAAACGACAGTTAAATATGAGGAATGAAAATAATTTGACTCAGGATGAGGGATATAGAAAAAATAATGGGAAAAGAGAGAAGAGCATTTAGTAGCAAATTGGTGTTACAACAGCCAGTGGTTTGGGGATATCTTACCATTAAACACAGAAATGAAGCAAGACTCATAAATACATGTTCTGATCTGTTCACTATAGTGCATACCTGAGTTTGAACTAATGAAGGCCTCTGTGTTCTCATTTCCTGAATCAAACTGAAAACACTGAAGTTCTCAGGAATTATCTATTAAAAAAAAGAGGAAATATCTTATTCCTTTATATCCTTTGTTAACAAATCATTCCTACTCTTTCATAGTCTTGTACTTCTGTGACATCTGCTCTCTTACCGTGGGATAATATCAGAAAAAAATGCATTTTTAAAAAGAATATGGTTTCTCATCAGTTGCATCATGATTTAAAGACTTGTATTTTCCTTGGAAAAATTTTTAAAACAAGTTTAAAGTGAGTTCACATGGGGGTGATCAAATGACTGAAACTAAAGATACACGAGACAAGGCTCAGTAGATAAGCAAATATGAGAGTTTTATGAAATAAAAGAAATTAGCAGATGGATCTAAAGCCCATATTTTAAGTTTCCCATGTCCTAGTTGGTATTTATTAATTATTTATAAAGGGCTGTGGATGGGAATAATTGTCTATCATATGAAAAACCCTGGGTTTAATCCATGGTAGTGGAAAAAAATATTAAAGGGGGCCCAGGTGTGGCTCAGTGGTAGAGCACTTGGCTAGCATGTGTGAGGCACTGAGTTCAATTCTTAGCACCACAAAAAATAAATAAAAGTTAAAAAAATAAAGACTAAAAATAATAAAAGCTCAGTAAAGGTAAAGTGCCCTGGATTCAATCCCTAGATTCCCCCTTACCCCTCCCCCCAAAAGATTTTTTGGTTAAAATACAAATTTTGATTGTGATAAGTTGAGTCCATCATCCATCTGCTAAAGCAGTTTGGATGAAAAAAGGGCAAATAACTATGTAATTTGGGGCAGTGGTTCTCAAATTTTAGCATGCACATGAGTCACATGGAGCGTTTTCTAGGCTCCAACTCCAAAACTTCTGTGATCAACCCATGGTATAAAGCCGAAGTATTTATGTTTCTAATAACTTCTCAGATAATGCTGCTGTTTCTGTCTTGGCACACTTTGCGGTGCTGAGGATCAAACTCAGGGCCTCAAGCAAGCTAAGTACTGTGCCACTGAGCTACCCTCAGCACCCAGGACCATACTTTAAGAACGACCTACTTAGGAAATGATGTTTAATCATCTGACAAAATGGGTCTACATGTGAATTTTCCACAAAAGATGAATCATGAGAGTGTTTTGAAAAACCAACTATTCCTAAGTCTGAAAGCAATGGAGTAAGCAAACAGGAAGTTCATGCTGAAAGAAACTTACCCCATCTTTAAGCAACATCCATGTATAATCAATAGCACAAATAACACCTGTCCTTCCACAGCCAGCACTGAAATTAAAGATCACAGTTACACGTATACTTGTAGAGAGTGGATCATTGACAATAACCAGAAAATTTCAGTAGCAGATTTGAAAAAAGAAGAAATCTGAAGGYAATTAAATTTTTTAAACCCTACCATTTATCAGAGTATGTTTGCCATGCTACAGTGAATCTCAGGACAGGTCCTAGGCAACAGCCAAGAGTTACTAGAGCTATATTATTCACAAGTAACAGAAAAATATGACTTTAATGCTCCAATTGAATTTTATAGTTTTCTTCTGCTCTTGACCTTTTCCTTTGGATCATGGAGTCCTGGCCAGACTGACATTTGGTTCATTCTAAGTAGAAGGTTCATATCTGGCAACCTACCTGCAGTGAATGCATATAGGAACACTGTCATCCTCTTGGTAACAACGCATATCCCAGATGAGTTCAAGGATAGGGTCTATAGAAGAAGGCACATCGTGGTCTGGCCAATTCTTATAATGAAACTGGTAGATAGTTCGAGTTTCCTATAAGAAAAATAGCTAGAATAAGAGGAGAGTTCAAGGTTGGGACTTCACCTCATCCTACCAAAAGATTAGTCTACAAAGTTGCATCTATTTCTTCCTTTTGCAGTGTATTCTGTTTTATTCTCTATAGATCTYGAGTAACCAGGTTCCTTTGAGAACAATTAATATTACTTGAGGTCTCTTACTATTGCCTAATCCCCAATTGCCCCATACATAAGAGAGAGATTTTTTAAAAAAATGGTCCAGGGCTGGGGATGTGGCTCAAGCGGTAGCGCGCTCGCCTGGCATGTGTGTGGCCCGGGTTCGATCCTCAGCACCACATAYCAACAAAGATGTTGTGTCCGCCGAGAACTAAAAATAAATATTAAAAAAAAATTCCCCTCTCTCTCTCTCTCTCTCCTCTCCCTCTCCTCTCTCACTCTCTGTTTTAAAATAAATAAATAAATAAATAATGGTCCAAACCAGATCTTCCCAAGTAGTACATCAGACATGCTGACATATTAAATCCCTTTACCTTTAGAAAGGCTGAGTAGGGCCTATGGCAGTCTGAGCTCTCAAATTTGGCCCCAGTCTATTCACTATTCAGCCTCTATTCATCATACAGATATTATCATTTTATGTGGATGTCATATGTAGACTAGATTGGGGAGCATTATATCAGAGGTCTCTTGAAAATAAAGAGTTTTTCAGGATACCAAAGACCCCACCRCTCCCCATAGTCTCATGTCTAGCCTCACTAACACTCATATGTATTTAGCTGCCTGATCTCTGTAGGCTTTTGAGTTTATCATTCATTTCTGTTCTATACTTACACTATTGAACTTGGCTTTTAGAGTCCTGATTATATAATCAGATTTCCTTTTTTCAGCTTCCTAAGAAAAAGAAGATTTAAAATATTGGCAATTTCAAAGACAAGCTGTCTGTAAGGTAGAATTTTGCTCAGCCATAATGGGAACAGGCATCATACTTACACAGGATATGGAGAAAGGGCCAAATTGCAGCTGCATCTCCCCTGGCTCAGCCCAGTAGCGCTCACACTTTTTCTGTTACACAAAGCACAATGCAGTGATTTCCTTCTTTATACTCTAGTTTGTTCTGGGAAATAAAACCCCAACCCTCATTCAGAAGCAGGTTTAGCTCTATGTCTTTCACCTTAGGTTAGACACTTCTAATCCCTTTGGGATTCAACCCCTACATCCATACTCTCATGAAATCTCCAAAGGATGGGAAGACAAACATTAAAGGATATAGAAATCATAGACTTCTTAGAAGTCTGAAAAAATAGAAATAGGGATCTATGATCTATTTTTAGTATTTCAAAAGAAATTATATGTTTACAAAAACAGTTACACAAGAAGTTTCCTTGRTTTTCATTAGAACTGCCAACTCTGAATGGCAACAGTATGTTAGAATAGTGATGTCCAGAAAAAAATATGTGATTTTCTGATAACCACACTCAAAAATGAAAAAATAAGAAATTATTTTTAATAATATGTCTCAGCCCAGTGTTATACAAAATTTTTGCAGGGCACAGTGGTGTACATCTTTAATCCCAACAGCTCGAGAAGCTGAGGCAGGAGGATCACAAGTTCAAAGCCAGCCTCAGCAACTTAGTGAAGCCCTAAGTAACTTAGTGAAACCCTATCTCAAAATAAAAATTAAAAAGGAATGGAGATGTGTCTTAGTGGTTTAGTGTGTCTGGATTCAATCCCTAGTTAAAAAAAAAATTCAACGTAATCAACAGATAATAGTAGATATTTAACCTTTCTTTCTTTTTAAATCTTCAAAATCTTGTAAATATACACAAGATTTTGAAGATTTAAAAAGAAAGAAAGTAATTTAATTAGGATGCTAACTTTTACTAGAAATATTTTCCTTCCACTTAGATTAAATAAAATTCACATTTGAAAAAGGTTCATATGCCCAAGTTGTTCCAATCATACTAACAACTTTTTCAGTAACTAAACTGAGTATTGTTTATAAATTTAAATCAATTAAAATAAAATAAAATAACTTAGTTCCTTGATCACACTAGCTATATTTTGATTGCTTAATAGCTACATGTGACTAGTTTATACAATTTTGGACAGCACAAGATTAGAAGCTCTGATTGGCAGTTAAAAATATCTGACTAGGGCTGGGGCTGTGTTAGCAGAGCACTTGCCTAGCATGTGTGAGGCACTGGGTTTGATCCTTAGCACCACATAAAAATAAACAAATAAAATAAAGGCATTCTGTCCATCTACAACTATCAAAAAAAAATCTGACTAACAGAAATGAGAAAGTGAGGGCTGGGGTATTAGCTCAGTGGTAGAGCATTTGCCTTGCATGTGTGAGGCACTGGGTTCAATTCTCAGCACCACATGTAAATAAATAAAATAAAGGTCATTGRCAACTAAAAAAATATTTAAAAAAATAAAATTAGAAAATGAATTGTTAGTTTAAAAAGCAAACATTGCTTTTACTTTAAAAGAGAAAGTCTACTGAGAAAATGGAGAAAAGGGGTTCTTAGGGGTGGATAAAACCCTATGAGTCGTATGGCATTCCCAAAGTGAAAACTAGGAAGATGACATGATTTTTACCTAGGCATACTTAAGGTCTGCTGCCAATTTTCCCTTTTTCCTTTACCTTCAGGTCAACAGGTACTAGAAAGTAACTCACCTTTCCCATTTCAAACTCCATACATGCCATTACAATGATCTGGAGAGATAAAATAGAAACTTAAAGCAGCCAGAGAGACAGAAAGGGCAGTTTAATATGTGGGTCTCAGTCAGAAAGCATTACTCACTGTTTTGCTTTGTTTTTTAACCAGAAAAGAAATTCTAATAACTTACATAAAATGTTGCTCTCACTCTTCCTTCTTTCTGTCCCCACTTCCCTTTTCTCTATTCAAATCAGAAAATTTGTCTTACCAAAAGCCTGTCAAGGTAGGAACTTTCATTTCCTTGAACAAGAATGACATTGTAATTTTAATAAAAGTGGTCTGAACCCTAAAATCCCATCAACCAATTTTAAAAACTCTTGTTTTAATGGGAAATCTTTGTCACATTCTGACACTCTAGCCCTGTTATCCCTAAGAACTGGAGAATAAAGTAACAGACACAACTTTGCACTTACCAGGACACTATATTCCCAAATCATCCTCCAGAAGTCGAGGAGAGTTATAGATAAAGGACCCTGGGTGGCAATATAAGCCTTGGGTCCATAAACTCCCTAAAGGAGAACAAAAATTACATGAGATGTCTATAGATAATACCCTCTTCTCACCAAGTCCTTTTCCTATTCCCTTTTTTAGGTTCCTAGAGAAAAAAAATGGAATGCTTTTATTTCCTTTTAGTATACCTTAATGAAGTTGGCATTGATATAGTTGGAGTCTTCATCAGAAGTTATTAGGGACAGTTCTACCCGGCTATGATCATCTGTAATACAAAAGAAAGACATAGTGTAACTAAAAAGGCTTACATAGAGGGTTAAGTCGGAGCCTAATATTGTGAACAGTACATACCGTGAATGTCGAGTGAGTGAGTGAATGAATAAATAAATATCTCTTGCAGTCCTAAATAGTACAATTCTAATTTGTCAATGCTTCTTTCCAGATTAGGAATCATAGTAGTTATTTAGTAAAAGGAAAAATGATTAAATGTGAGAGTAATTACACGTTTATAGAGAAAAATGGAACTTACAGGGCAAAATATCCTTATATCTATTTTTCTTGATATTCTTGGGCCTCTGTGCCACGGTTGTAGGATAGATCTTGTCTGCCTTGTATTTAGTAGATTGCCTTTTCAGCTTCTGTAATAAAATACCAAGAATAATGAATTTTCCTAAAGAAAGGAGGTCAGAAGCTACCTCTAGGGGGCTTTCCTTCTCCACTTTCGGAACATTCTACTTCAACCCTTTTAGCATCCTCTGGGGTTGACTCCATTCAGGACAGGGCACAAGAATTGCAGAATTCAGTGACATTTGGAGAAGTGAAAAGATCACACTTACTGCAGTTGAGCCACATATAGCTAAAACTTAAAGGTTAAACTGATGAATATTTTAAAAACCAAATGTCTTCTGAAAGCAAGCTACATGCTATGCCCAATGGGAGAGATATTAAAAGTTGAGTTTACTTTCTTTACAGCTACTCTTTAGTTCAATGGTCAATAGGAAGCTTACTAAGTTCCATTAGTTTATTTCAGATCACTTTTTTTTTCTAAATGGAAATAGAACTTAAACTGAATAAAATCTGCCTAAAGCTAGATAAATTTCAAAGATTGCAGTCCCAAAAGGAATCAAGTGTGATTTAAACGTTGAACCTACCCTTCAGCCAAACAGTGCTCTAAATAGCATGACATTCTATTGGTAGAACAGGATCTAGGCTGGCAGGGGCTAGCATTACATGGTTGAACAAGAGCTAGCATTATACGGTTGAACAAGACAGTGAAGTTACTCCTTAAAATTATATTCTCATTTTCTAATACTGTAACTATAGATCAAAACTTCAGGTCAGAGGAAATGATAATTCCTCTTTGGCTCCTTGATAGGGATCAAACTTGTCCCAAATTTTATCTTCCTTACCAAAGAATCCATATCAACTAGATCTGACTTGTGAGAAGAGAGGGAGAAACATCTTAAAGAAGAAAGGGAGAAACATTTATGATAATTGATGAAAGTTTGTGTTGAATTAAACTAAATAAAATAACTTTTATTAATTTTCAACCTTGGAGAATTGGTCATCGGAGGAGCATTGATTACCTCCTATGGACTAGCTCCCTCAGCATCTCCTCAATCTTCATTCTCTGTAACTTTCTTCTTGAAATTTCTTCCTTCCTTGGCCCTTATTTGTCTATATTATCTTGGTTCTCCTCTTTGATCCTCTGTGCTTTTCTATCTTCCGAGAACTACACAAATTTCCGATGTTAAATCTTCAATTCTCTGCTCTTCTCTTACTATACATACATTTACTCAGAGATATCCTATACATATCCTTCTATATCCTAGAGAAGGATATGTATAGGATAAGTGTTTGTTGATTTATTTAACTGATTCTAATAGAATTATATTCCCAACCCATATCCTAGACACTTGAGAATCTTATTACAGCCTCAGACTCAGTACATTTAAAACCAAAGTCATAATTGTCCCCACTATAATTGTCAATGGCACTATCTTTATTCTAAACAACCACACTTTAGAAAGTGAGTCACGTGGCGTTCCCCCCTTTCCACAATTCCACCTCTACTTTAGTTAGCATATTCAACTGATTCTTAACCATGAAATGTCTTACATCAGTCTTCCTTCCCAGGCTTACTAGAGATACCTTCATTTAGGCTTTTTCCTTAAATCTTGTTAACTCTTAGGTACTTGTTAACTCATCTTCATGCATTTCTTTCTCCACATTCATTGGGCATAATTCTGTTAATTTAATTTTACTAAAATACTGCTTTTCTTATCTGTCTTATGCACAAACTAACTTCAATGAATCACTTTTTAAAAATTTTTTTGTAGTTGTAGATGAAGAGAATGCCTTTATTTTATTTGTATATGGTGCTAAGGATTAAGCCCAGTGCCTCGAACATGCTAGGCAAGCGCTCTGCCACTGAGCTACAGCCCCAACCCCAATGAATCACTTTTGCTACTAGGAAATAAAAAAACTGAACTCCTTAGCCAGATACTCAAGGCTCTCTGTAGTTGGACCCCAAGCTGCTTCTTCCATATTTCCCACTGTCTTCCAGTTACAAAGCATCTATAGATGTCTCCTAGATTCTCTCACTATTGCACAAATTGATGTCACTGACAATTATGTGTAATATATTACTTCTTTTAAACTAGGGCATTTCTTTCCTTTCTCATAAATATATCCTTGGTACTCCTTTTGCAATTCTCAGCCATGACTATGGTCTGTTATCTTCCACAGAGTAAACTAATAAAAGGAAGTAAGGAAATAAGAAATTTTCTCAAATGACTAGCAGTGATTTTTTTTCCCACTGTTGGGGATCAAACCCAGAGCCTTGTGCATGCTAAGTAAGCACTCTACCACTGAGCTACACTCCCAACCCAAAGGAGAGATGGTATATATCTGGGGGTGGGGGAGAGAGGTAGTTTTTTCTTTTGTTTTGTTGTTGTTGAAACTAGGTATTTCTTGGTCAGCCACAAGGCAAGGGATGTGAGTTCCATGGAGGAGGCACTGTCAAGAGAAACCCAGGGAAGAATCTCTGGGAGAATCAAGTGAAAAGGCCAGCATCTCATGTGGGCTCTGAAATAGGGCGGTATATGAGAAACCAAAATCTATGTGTGCTTGATAAGCTAATAGTAAGTTCAATCAGTTTGTGGACTATATTACTGTTTTCCTTTCAAAAAAGAACAGAACTGGGGTTGGGTGCTAAGACTCTAGAAATCAGGACTGAGTTTTGCATGTTTTTAATCTGATAGACTTATAAATTAACTAAAATCACTTCCAAAAAAGAAAAGACCACAATATCTTTGCCTTGAAGGACCAGGTTACTGAATAGAAGGCATAATATAAGTTGTATTTTGGAAAGGGGGAAAAAAAAACCTGGCCTGTTGTGCTAGGGAAAGAAGAAATTGAAGTTGGACTATCTCCAGAGCTTACAACTGTAGGTCAGTATTATATGAAGCCTCCAACATGAGAAAGAAAGCATGACTGCTAAGGGGTAGAATTAGGAGCTCTGGCCTTCAAACCCAGCAAACAGGAGTACTACCAGTAGGAAAAGAGGACAGACTGAACTGGCCCTGAGTGTGCACATAATTATCTTTTAACAAGATAATCAAATTTATGGAGGCTAGTTTCCAAATCACCAGTGGGGTAAATGGGTAGGTGGGTAGGCAATAGCCAAACTGGGGAGAGTCAAGTTTAGATACATAAAATAGAAGGAAATATCAAGATATTTGTTAAAAATGTCCTGTGAACAACTGAAAATGTGGGACTAGATGGACTCTAGTGAGAGGCTGGAGATGAGAATGTGATATAATTATTCTGGTGGCAACAGAAAAAAAAATTCACCTTAATGTGCATAAAAATCAAGAAATGTTAATAAGTATGTTCAAGCAATAAGCTGACTCACACYAATGAATCATTTCAATTCAACAGATGTTTGTACACCTGCTGTGCAAGAGGTACTGTGTTCACAACTGGTTAGTTAGTATCATTACTTTAAAAACATTGAAACAACATATTTCCAGGTCTTCCCTGGTCTGTCTATGAAGTTGCTACAAGACCAGTCTGATTTCTAGTATCTTTTAAACCAACATTAGCAATTAAACCTGGCCTTCAGAACTGAGCATCTTTTTTCCTTTTAGAGCTCAATGAATCCTTCATACTTAGTAAATATGTCTTAATATTTAATGAATATCATATTTATCTTTCTACAGAAATATCTTTGACCCAAGAAACATAAAACTTTTATTTTGTTTTTTTTATTGTTTGAATGGAATCCAAYGACACTAAAGGAAATTTGTAAATATAGTTTTTTTTGCAGTTGTAAAAGGATAATATGCATTTATTCTATTTGTTTTAATGCAGTGCCAAGGATCAAACCCAGTTCCTCACACATGCTAGGCAAATGCTCTGCCACTGGGCTATAGCCCCAGCCCTAAATAGAGATTTTTTTTTTTTTTTTATTGTTTTAGGGCTGGGGCTGGGGCTCAGTGGTAGTGTACTTGCCTGGCATGTGTGAGGCACTGGGTTTGATTCTCAGCATCACATATAAATAAATAAATAAAATAAAGGTTATCAGCAACTAAAAAAAATATTCGAAAAAACTGTTTTAGTTGTAGATGGACACAATACCTTAATTTAAAAAAATTATTTTATGAGGTGCTGAGGATCAAATCCAGTGCTTCACACATGCTAGGCAAGTGTTCTACAGCTGAGCACTATAACTRCAGCCCATAAATGTATATATTTTTAAGGTAAAAAATACATACTCATTGAAGGAAATTTGGAATATACAGAGAAACAAAAATAAGATGATAAAAATCATCTATAATCCCACTATCCAGAGTTAACTACTCTTATTATTTTATAATAGTACCCTCCAACTTTTTATCCATGTATTATTATAATAAAGATGGGATCACAGGCAGGGTTTTGTAATTTGCTCTTTTTACTTACCAATTTGTGGTGGGTTTTTTTGTTTGTTTTTGTTTTTGTTTTTTAATAGTGGCATATATATTCCATTATATGGAATATAACCAAAGTTTCTTAACCTATTTTTTTATTGTTGAACATTAAAGCTACTTCCAATATTTCATAATTATAACAATACTATAGTATGTAGCCAAACCATAAATATCTTTTATTATTTCCTTCAGATGAATTTGTAAGAATGGTCAAAGAATTTTCTCATTATAATAAACTTTGATCTATATTATTATGTCTGCTGAAACTGTATACAAATTTTGCCTCCAGAAAGGTCATTTCAGTATTATATAAAACTGCATATATTTGAATTCTGACCAATGTTAGAATTATAATATTTTAAATATGGGTCCATTTGATAGGTAAAGTGGTATCAGTAGTCTTTTTGTTGTTTGGATTCCTATTTGGATATCAAAATATTTTTTAAAGGCAGAAAATCACTATTAATCAAATTACCATATCTRCATAAAGCTATGTTCATATTTCTGTATTCTTACAAATAAATATATGTAGACATCCAAGGAACTTATATATACATATTTAGCCCAATACCTGACTTACAATTCATACTTTTACACATACTTTTTAAATGAAGATGCTTCATCTGCCTCCAGTGTAGAAAAGAAATTCTTAACATTAAATGCATGCAGCAAAATTGACCAACACATAACACATAACCAAGCTTTAACTGATTTATAATGACTGAAACATACACATTATAAGAACAAAAGTAGCCGCAGTAACTGGTACAAGAGGATACTTATTCCTTTATAAATTGCAGTGTATCTGACAAAGGATGTGCTAATGGAAAAGGATAGTCCTTGTTTTGGAAAAAGAAAAAACAACAACAAGCACTTGTACTATGTCCCTAGTGTTGTCTGGGATAGGTTGTTGGTCACCAGCCTGAAATTTCAAACAAGGAGACAGAGACATCACACCATCATAGTTGAGGCCACTAAAATCACCATGCTCATCAAACACTTCCCTTTTTTTGGCACTGGGAATTGACCCTTGGGGCGCTTTACCACTGAGCTACCTCACCAGACCCACTAAGTTACTGAGGGTCTTGCTAAATTGTGGAGGCTGGCCTTAAATTTGTGATCCTTCTGCTTTAGTCTCCTGAGTTGCTGGGATTATAAGTGACAACACCTGGTTCATCAAATACTTTCTGTTTACAGTTGACTTTTCAAACTTTCTTTCCTACAAAGAGGAAATACACTGGCCAGTCAATGCAAACTTCTACCCTGTTTGAGTTACTTTTCTCCCTTTGAAAACTGATAAATTGGTTTTCTGATTTCTAGTGAATTTCTGGTGTTTGATTATTATGAGCCAGTTGCTTGCTCTTGATCAATGCTGGATATAGTAAAACATCTGAATTTCTAGATCAGCAAAGCTAAAAACTGGACACTAACTATGGCAATTTGAAATAGACATGTCACCCTAAGTGGCTACTTACCTCTCTCAATGTATCAGTAATTTCATCTATTGACCCTTGATAGAATTCATAAAAATGATTAGAAAAAATTACACCCAATGAAATTGATATTTTACAAATAGAATGTAGAGTGAGAAAACAAGACATAAAAGAACATTTAGGGGCTGCGGTTGTGGCTCATAGRTAAAGTGCTCGCCTAGCACGTGCGAGGCCCTGGGTTCCATCCTCAGCACCACATAAAAATAAATAAAATAAAGGTATTGTGTCCAACTACAACTAAAAAGTAAATATTTAAAAAAGAACATTTAACTTGATTTTATTTACATATAGTTCAAAGACAGATACAATTAATCTCTGTTGTTTAGTGAACTAGATATTAAAGCAATGCAAAAAAACTATATCATGATAGTGTTTATAACTAATCTTACTGGTGTAGGACTGTTATTTGGAAGTATACCCAAGGGATTTCTGTGGTGTGGGCAGTGTCCTACTTCTTGATCCAAGTCCTTATATGGGCACCACACAAATAAATATAAAATTGGAATTTTGATAAGTATAAATACCAGATGGAGCCAATAAGAACTTTTATAATAAGAAAGTTGGTCTATTCAGGGAGGTCAAGAAAACACTTTTTAGGGCTGAAGATGTCTGTAATGCAGTGGTAGAACACTTGCCTCATATGCTCCAGGCCCAGAGTTTTGGGGGGGATGGTGGGATACGGGGGATTGAACTCAGGGCTCAGGGGCACTTGACCACCGAGCCACATCCCCAGCCCTATTTTGTATTTTATTCAGAGACAGCGTCTTACTGAGTTGCTTAGCCCCTTGCTATTGCTGAGGCTGGCTTTGAATTTGTGATCATCCTGCTTCAGCCTCCGAAACTACTGGGATTACAGGTGTGCGCCACCACACCCAGCCCCAGAGCCCAATCTCTAGTACCACAAAAAGAATATTAAAGAAGAAGAAGAAGGAGAAGGAGAAGAAGAAAAAAAGAGGAAGGGGAAAAAAGGCCCCACCAAATGTAGATCTAAAGAATTATGAAACATTAACTAGGGCCAGGCACGGTGGCACATGCCTGTAATCCCAGCCTCACAGGAGGCTGAGGCAGGAGGATTGTGAGTTCAAAGCCAGCCTTAGCAAAAGCAAGGTGTTAAGCAACTTAGCGAGACCCTGTCTCTTAAAAAAATAAAATAAAAAAGTTAACTAGGTAAAGAGGAATGTGAGGAATGCTCAAGGCAGAGGGAAAGTACGCCACTGGAAAGTTTTGAATTTAGTTTAGTCCTGGCACAGAGAACAGACCTAAGCAGCATGGCATTTTATATCAGCTGTCACAGTAGGCCTGCCAGATCCAGTTAAGTATATTGTGCTCTGCACAAAGATACATGGATAAGGCAGAAGTGAGGACTGAAATCTGAACCATGGAGGAGGGGAAAAGATGCACAGAGCATCTCTCCAGAAGAGGGATACCTTTTGGTAAGTCCCACAAAGAATACCACCTACTAGCAGTGGCCTTGTGTCACACAATCTTCAATTCTCAGAACATCACATKCTGGGAGAAGACATTAAAGGCTGAAGGTGGGGTGTGGGACATTACCAGGTGGAAAGCCCTCTGATCTAATGGCAGTATTTAGCTTGTCCAAATGAGCAATCTGACCCCGTTCACTTCCACCCCCACTCCCCCACTGCTATTCCTCTGGTGTCTCAGCTGAACCTTTAGGTGGGGCTCAGGGCGAGACTCTGTTTTTCCACTGGAGGACATGAGTCAGTGAACAGTGAGGTTCCACTTAATCACTACCCAAAAACAAGATTCTTAAAATCAGGAGCTAGAAAAGAAAGGAAGTGATTAATATAAAAGTCAGGATAGTGATTATCCCTGTGGCAAGGTGGGGTGGGTGGGTGGAGGGGGTCTGCTGGGGAAAGGATATATTGGGGTCTTCTGGAGTCTGACAGTGCTCTATTACTTGACTGGGTGGTTGCTTTATAGTTATACTTACATGTCTTACATACTCTTCTAAATGTTATTATATTTTACTATTATAAACAACTAAAAGATACGAACTATAAAAAGTTCTTAAGAAAGGAAGAAATGACCAAATTTATATTATTAAAAGATCACTTGGGTGTTGAACGGAAAAGTCATTGAAGGTGGGGAAAGGCTAGAAGCAATGAAACCAGTTAAAGGTAGTTGCTGTAATTTGGTAAGAGAGTATAATGACCCGAGCTTTAAAACGGTAAGATATTAGGAAAGCAGTCTGTACTATTTTTAAAAAATACAGTCAAAATAGAACAGAGGCTGGCACTGCCAGTCAGCTCACTTTTTGCCTCTATCCTTTGGAGAATCTGGATCAGGAATCACAATCCCAGAGCAGGCATGTGTCTACACAGACATATGCGCTCCTTACCTTCTCTTTGATAAATCTCTTCAGAGAGGCTCAGAATGCCTGGCTAGTAGCAGCAGAAGCACATTTTTTAAAATGACACCATAATATTATTCCAAGTTGAACTAACATAGGGGTTTCCTATCATAACATCTCATCACTCATCCATAATATCTGATCACTGGAGACTTTGCAAAGTATTTTATTATCTATTCTCTGGTACCARAATGTTAGCTCTGGAGGGCAAAGACTTACTCATTTTGTTCGCTATTGTATTGCCTAGAACTGAACTTGATCCATGGTACATGCTCAATAAATATTACCAAATAACCACTATATATATATATATTTAAGTTGCCTAGGCTGGCCTGGAACTTGCAATCATTCTCACTCAGTTTTCTGAGTAGCTGAGACTACAAGTGTGCACCATAGCATGCGACTCACATTTTATCACTATAGTCATTATTATTATTACTGATATTTAATCATCACAACAAATCTATAAAAATGATTAGGACATAAATTATTATCCCCATTTTATAAAATAGAAAATAAGAGATTTGGGGACTGGGATTGTAGCTCACTGCTACAGTGATTGCTTATCATATGTATGGCACTGAGTTCGATCCTCAGCACCACATAAAAATAAAGGTATTATGTCCATCTACAACTCAAATATATGTATATGTTAATATATTTATATATATTAAAAAACAGCGATTTGGGAAGAGTAAGGAACATGTCAAATAGTCTACAATTTGATTGATGAAGTATCAGTTCTCTTGTTTTTCCCCTCTTCTTTAGAGCCATTCTTATAGCTCTGAAATACAGCTGCAAGTATTCCAAAACACAAGAGAGGTACTATCGGACATCCTACATTCACTGATGTGCCAGGTAATAGAGTGAATGAGGTCTATCCAACTTCCATTGCACCAATACCTACAGTTCCTTCAAAGGAAGGCATTGTTCCTCTGCAAAATCAATCTATCTGACTCAAGGCTACACTCGTATTTCTCTCATGGCCCTCACTTGTCTCTATTCCCCACCCCATCCTTTCCACCTCTCTAAGCAACGTAAGCTAGGGAAACCCTGTTATTATAAAAACACATGTTCTAATATTTTTCTCATAGGAAAAAGAAAAGAAAAAAGTGACAATCAGTAGTTTTGATGCTTTTCAAAAACCTCTGTCATCCAAATGGCATCCCATGAGGAGGTTAAAAACAATATTCTATAAAAAAATTAATTGTGCTCTCTTTCTTCTTAATATTAATTAAAATTAGTGATTTGAAGTACAAACCACAACTCTGATGCCTAGGGAACTCTGAATGTTCAATTAATATTAGATTAGTAATTATACATCTGGAGTTGTGTTTTGCCTCTGTAGGATTTCCAAACTCTAAAACACTAGCAAACAGAATATTAAAAACAGTATTTTTAATAAAATGCCTAAATGTATCAAAACCAGAGCAGTCAGACTTTTAGATTGCCCTCTTCTCCTTCAAGGCCTGATAATTACTTTGTCCTGAGAGCAATTTGGTCTAGAAGAGTTGAATCACTATAGTCAAACAGTGTATGAAACTACTCTGAGAGCGTCACACACAGGACTCACCAGAAACTCACTGGCAAACTCTTCTTTGTTAATTTTCTTGTTTTGGGCCTCATCCAGGAACTTCTGCAGAATTTCTCTTTGGTCCATGCTGCAGAGTAAGAGAAACAGTCTGTGAGTAGGTTAAGGGAGGGCATGTCAAATGTGTGTCATGGCCGAGACACCACCAAGAAGCCACTGCTGCTGCCTGAACATAGCATGCTGAAGGCTGTGGTTTACTGACTTCATCACAAGCTCTAGAGGAAATTAGTATGAAACCAGCCTCTGTGGTCACACAACAAAGCCATCATCTCACTCCAGGGCCCTAGCGCCTTCCTTCTCAACAAAGAAAGCTGGTGACAATTCAAGTTTTTAACAAACAAGAGGCTAACCAGAACTTAAAATATCGTCTGCTTAGCTCTGAGACTGTTCCACCCCATCACCTTTAAGCAAAATTCATCTTTCTCTCTGCTTTCCAGAGAAAATGCAGAACTACAGTTCTCATGGATAACTTTTGCCTCTGCCCATTTTGTCAGTGAGTATAAAGGCCCTGTTGACATCTTGTTTTTTTTTCGTGTTCCATAAGAACTCTACAAAGTTCAGTTAGACCCAGAAAGGAAACCATGTTTGGAGTGACACATCTTCTACCTGGACCGGTCTCCCAAAAGTTTCTTGTCAGTGTGATCAACAGTAAACTTCTGTTCATCAGAGAAGGATTTTTATTCAGAGCTTTTATAATCTGCCATACAGACCTCATATTTTCTTTTGGGTGAAGCAAAGTCAGCTGCTTCTAACAGTCTATGTCTCTCCCAGAGCTGGGGAAGTCCTGCACTCCATTAGGGAAGTATTGATTTCAGCACCTCTTCAACCCCCCAGCAGCTCTTTGAGCTTCACCTGGGTTCTGGACATAAAGGCCAAGAGCACTGGTCTACATGGAACCAGGAGCTAGTGGTCCTTGCCAAGAGTACCTGACAAGGCAGCACAATATCTCCAGAATGTAATGCTGGCAAACAGTAACAAAAAGAAAGTAAAATCAGCTACCTTTCTGACTACAGTGTGAATTCTAGGTCAAGCCTGAGAACCAGGCATATCTATAGTACCAGCACTCAAGAAGYTAAGGCAGGAGGATAGCTTGAGTCCAAGAGTTCAAATCTTGCCTGGGCAACATACATAGATTCTGTCTCAAAACAAACAAGCCTGAAGAACAGTTTCTATAGTAGACATTTTTACTCTGCAACGAATGTCTTAGAACAGATATTGTTTCAGGAAGTCATTCTGTATGTGTGGCATTGGCCCTGACAAACAGCTGTTCTTGAAAAAGCTTCAGTGCCTCAGTTTGCATAAACTCTCTCCTCAGTGGGTACAAATCCACCCAAGGTCTAATTCAGTGTGAGAACAAACCCAAATGAGCATATTATCTTGGTTCAATAAATGATATGAAAACAAAATTAGTCTGAAATAATCCTGAGGAAAACTGGGAAATATGTTGTTTGGACTTCCTCTATTGAAGATATTAGCAATCCTTTCTGTTTTCCCAACATTATTCAAACTCCTTTCAGGAAATCATGATTCTGAACATTACCAAGAGGCTGCATCCTCTTTATTGGGCCCAACAGTAAGAAAGGAGATAGTTGAGGTGTCTTGGTTATAGGCAACTTGAAGCCAATATTCCAAATAGTTTTGATCCCAGTCCACATAAATTAAAATGAACTATAATTCCTCAGCAATAATGTTGGAATATGATAATATTTCTCAGATTATCCCCACCTAGCATTAAGGTGACTTTCTTGCTGCTCTAAATAATCCGGTGTTTGATTATTTAAAAACACATAAAATATGGGAAAACTTCACATTAAAAAGAATACAAAATTTTGACCCATGCCTGTATTCTCAGAGACTCAGGAGGCTGAGGCGGGAAGATCACAAGTTCAAGGCCAGCCTYGGCAATTTAGCAAGGCCCTAAATAACTTAGTGAGAACCTGTCTCAAAACAAAAAATAAAAAAGGCCATGGTAAAAATGCCCCTGGGTTCAATTCCTAGTACAAAAAAAAAATTAAAATCACAATAAAATATATGTAGTGAATCCTAAAAGATGAAAAAAAAAAAGAGTCAATTGTGTGTAATGGAATTAAGGATGCTTTTAAACTTATACAACTTTCTTAATTAGAAAAAACTCATAAAAATTCATTAATTCATAGCACCCTCTGGGCATCTCATAGTTCCCCTGACCATGTTAGTGCTGTTGCTTAACTGGAGAGAGTTGCTGGAAGGAGAGTGGATGACAGAATTTCATGCACTTGGTGTCCTGTGTGTCAAAATCTTCAACCAAAATTGGAAAGTTTTGCCGAATGGAGAGAATTATTGAGGTTAATGTTGCAAAAGTAGATGTCACAGAGCAGACAGGACTGAGTGGATGGTTTATCACAACTGTTCTTTCTACAATTTATCATTGTAAAGATGGTGAATTTAGGCGCTATCTGGAATCAAGGGCTAAGAAGGACTCCATCAACTTTATAAGCGAAAAGGAGTAAAGAACATTGAACCTGTTTCATCATGGTTTTGTCCAGGTTCTGTTCTACTTGCCACAACTATTTTATTGAAGACCTTGGATTACCAGTTTGGGGATCATACACACTTTTTGCTTTAGCAACTCTGCTTTCAGGACCGTCATTAGGATTTTGTATGATATTTATGGCGGACTGCCTTTGTCCTTCAAAAGGGCACAAACCACAGCCATACCCTTTTTAAAAAAAAAAAAAAACTTATTACTAGAATTTTCTCAACCTTTGAAAAAAGTGGAGGAGGAACAAAAGGCTGATAAAGAAGATGTTTCAGAAGAGGAAGCTGAAAGTAAAGAAGAAACAAACAGACTTTTCTCAGAATGCAAAAGACAATGCTCTGTGGGTCCATCGTTGTCCACTGGTAAATCCTAGTTAATTTTTTTTAAAATGAATGTTTTTCTCCTTTATTTATATGCAGTGCTAAGAATCGAACCCAGTTTTGTTATTTATTTATTTATTTATTTATTAAATATTTATTTTTTAGTTGTAGCTGGACACAATATCTCTATTTTATTTATTTATTTTTTTGTGGTGCTGAGGATCGAGCCCAGGGCCTCACACRTGCTAGGTGAGCGCTCTACTGCTGAGCCACAATCCCAGCCCAATTACCTTTTTAAAAAATATTTATTTTTTAGTTTTAGGTGGACACAATATCTTTATTTTACATTGATGTGGTTGTGAAGATCGAACCCAGTGCCTCATGCATGCTAGGTGAGAACTCTACCACTGAGCCACAACCCCAGCCCCAGTTTTGTTATCTTAACATCATGATTTTAATAAAAACTGAAGATTSACCACTTTTTCTTTTTTGGTACTGGGGATTGAACCCAGGGACCCTCAACCACTGAGTTCCATCCCCATCTCTTTTTTATATGTTAATTAGAGACAGGGTCTTGCTGAATTATTAGGGCCTCTCTGAATTACTGAGGCTAGCTTTGAACTTGTGGTCCTTCAGCCTCCCAGGCCTCTGGGATTACAGGTGTGCACCAGGCCCTCTGGCTTGATCATTCGTTTTTATGTGAACTGTGACTTGCTTTATATAGTACAGGGTTCAACCTAGATTGTTGGATTGAACAGTTTTCATTAAGAAAATAAAAGCAGGTACAAAAGTTTACAGTATTCAAGTTGATATGTCAAGAGCTATGTAATGTTTTGAACAACTAATCAAAAACAAAAACAAACAAAAAAAACATCATTGAGGTAAAAAAAAACAAAAACAAAAAAACAGCAAYGAAAACATGATAAATATGCAACTGCAAGATATCATCAATTTGAATGTATGAAATATGTCAAGAGCTATGTAATGTTTTGAACAACTAATAATAAAAAAAAGATATCAATTTGTTTAAATAAATTATGATTTAAATTTTAAAAAAGTTTACAGTATGATTTAAGAGCATTATAGTTGTTTAAACAATGTATAATTTTGAAAAATCTGAAAAAGCAATAACATTTGTCCATCTTTGTTTAATAATAACCTGTATCAAGTCTGAATTTTAAAAAATTACATTTCTCAATGTTTGCATTATTGGGGTATTTAAGATTAGAGAAGATTTATCATTTGATATGATTTTTCTCAGTTTCACTGTGTGGAAAAAAAAAAGAACATATTTCCCATAAATGGGAACTTTTTGCCCAATGTCTTGAGAAATGTATATTTCAGTGATAACTCTGTGGTCTTTTAGAGATATAGTTCAAAATTTCCTCATTTTTAAAATTAGGCAACTAATAAAAAAACTACCTTGTTTTAATTATAGTTTTCTGCACATCATATACAGAATATGCTACTAATTAAGAAAGTTTTTATAAGCTTAGGTGTTCTCTTGATTCCTATAATGGTTAATTGCTTTTTTTTCTGTTCCCTTAGTCAGTGTGTGGTTTGTATTTTTTAACTTGCCATGGATTATATACCTCAAATTAGATGATATAAACAGTATCACTATTATACTTACTATTGGTAAATAGTACTTTTTTGTTGTTTCAAGTTGAAATTTACTGAGAGATCCATCGAACTGAGCTATATTGATAATTTGAAATTTTGGTCATTCACTCCAGATTTTACATTACTATTGTTGAACCTTGTCTTGAATTTTGTCCTTGTCTTGAATTTTGTTATTTTGGTGTTTTGGGGTTTTTTTTTTTTTTTTTTTTTTTTTTTGGTATTAGGGATTGAACTCAGGGGCACTTGACCACTGAGCCAAATCCCCAGCCCTATTTTATATTTTATTAGAGACAGGGTCTCACTGAGTTGCTTAGCTCCTCACTCTTGCTAGGCTGGCTTTGAACTCATGATCGTCCTGCCTCAGCCTCCTGAGCTGCTGGGATTACAGGCATGTGCCATGGTGCTTGGCTTGAATATTTTGACTTTGTTCTTTTTCTTTTTTGTTTTTAATGTAAAGGTGGACATTCCTGATTTTTATATATATATATATATATATATATATATATATATATATATAGTTGTAAATGGACACAATACCTTTATTTATTTATTTATTTTTATGTGGTGCTGAGACTCGAACCAAGTGTCTCACATGTGCAAGGCAAGCGC